ATTTAATACTGTATGAATTCTCGTGCACGTCTTCGCCCGAGAATGACCCGAGAATTTTGGCAGGACAAGCTTTTACATTATCTTTTTGTTTAGGTTGGTTAGTAGAGTGGTTGGTTATTATATATGTATGGTTGGTCATTATTTATATGTATTGTGCATTTTTAACATATTATTCTTATAGGAAGCAACATATTATTCATCTTTGGATCCTTTATTTACTCATGTCCAGGTTAATTCAAAATGGAAATGGTACCTAAAATCCCTTCCTCATCCTATGCCTCCGCCAACTTGACATGTCTRTCGCACTTAGCGAAGACTACCGCAGCCATTAAAAGTAAATTGACCCCACCACAACTTAGGATGTTTAGGAAAACTGTATTCGGTCATCTCCTTGACTTGGATCTCGTATTTAAYGGGCCATTGATACACAACATCCTACTTAGGGAGATCGAGGMTAGTACACCTGACACCATTAGCTTCAACCTATTTGGTAATAAGRTGTCATTTGGGCGGASGGAGTTTGACATTATTTCTGGGCTTAAGTATGATAGGAGTCCAGTTAGAAAAGACACATCTCCCCACAGACTCAGGGCTCTTTACTTTAATGATAGCAACGACGTTCTCTTGAGTGAATTTGAGAAGATTTATTTAGCCGCACGGTTCGAGGATGACTTCGACGCGGTCAAGATATCTATTGTTTACTTAGTAGAGTTAGTTCTGTTGGGGAGAGAGAGGACTCTGAAGTACGACTATACATTGCTGGGAATAGTCGATGATTGGGAAACGTGCTGCAACCACGATTGAGGGATGCTATCCTTTGATAAGACTATATATAGTCTGAAGCGCGGCCCGACGAAGAGGTCGAAGGATGGCCGGTTCAGGAAATCGTACAGTCTCTACGGTTTCCCTTGGGCGTTCCAGGTATGAGCCTAGATATTTGTTTAYAGTTTTCATTCCTTTTAACTGATCAATAACGTCCACCACTTCTATGCTTACAGGTGTGGGCCTACGAGACTATATCTTCCTTATCTGGGCGTGTGGCCAATAAGGTAAATCCGGACGCCGTGCCACGRATTCTTCGGTGGAGGTGCGGCCATTCAACTGCATGGCATGTGCTGGACAGAGAGATTTTCCGATCTAGCACAGTAAGTTCAATCCTGTTTATACCTATAAGTTTCTTTAATTTCCATATTTATGCTGACACGTTCATTACCATTGCCGTAGGGAAGAACTCGATCAATAGAAGCAACGGATGCTGAGACGACCTTCCTAGATAGGACGTTTTAAAACCACCGGAGCCCGAAGATGAGGACGAAGTCCCACGCGAGAATGATGCTGCTGAACCATCAAGTGCACGTGTAGGACCAGAGAAGGATGACGGGAGACAAGGAGGGAACGTCGACGAAGGTGTCAGAGAAGACGTCCATGAAGAGGCTGAGGAGGATGAGGAGGAGAATGGACGTGGTAAGAAGGTACGCATGTCTAGTGTGCGTCTGAGGAAGGTTGAGAAACGGATGAAGCGCATGGACAAGCGCATGGATGACGGGTTCGAAGGTATTAAGGCTGAATTAAAATCCATCCGGAAGTTCTTGCGAAGAATCGCTAAGGTAATAACAGTTTTCACTTATAATAATTACAATGTCGTTTTCATATAGCGATAACTAACTTGGCTCAATTGTATAGGGTTTACCTGTCGACCCGAATGACATGAGAAGAGGCAGCAGCGGTGATGGTACTGGGCAAGGAGATGGTCTGAGTGATGGTTCTGGGCCAGGAGATGGTCCGAGTGATGCACCAAGTGGGCGACATAGTGATCGAGGTGATGGTCCTAAGAATGGCGATGGTTCTACACCATCTCCTAGGGACGTGGACGACACAGATGACATGATCATCGATCCCCCCCATGTGATTGCGCACGAGACAAAGGAACATCAGTCCGGCCAAACGACCGGGGACCAGGTTGAACCAGAACGCGAGGTATGTGTTCGTAATCTATAAGTTCAAATTCGATCATAAGCATGGTCTAACGAAGGTTACTCTGCCCTGTATCAATAGCATTCACCTGCCTTGACGCGCAAGGAAGGCATGGGTACAGAGGACGTGTTTAAGGAAGATATCGGTCTACATGCGCGTTGTGAGGCTGCCCCTCTCGCGCAGACTCCTGTTCAGAGCAGACAGGTGGACCATATTACTATCGATTCGCATCCGTTAGAGTCATCTATGGACGACGAGGTATTTATTTTTGACTTTTCAACTCTAAACACAAGATTTTATTTGCTAACAAAATTTATCCAAGACGAATACGCCGAAGACTTCACGGACTCTGATACGGAAGGCCGGGAGCGACGTCGCAACCAGACCTGGATGAGGTATGTGTGCTATCGCAGCCCGTTGAACGTCAGAACCCTCGGCGGGGGTCTCGGAAGAGGAAGCTCCCATGGAAGCTTCGGGGGTCGTTCAATGTCATGGTGGACGGGAAGCGGAAGAAGGTAATGCGATATGACCCACTAGTCCACGTCCCCTCTGAACAAGTCCAGAAGTTTCATGCTTGGCTGGCTAACCCTAAAACTGACCGCGCCACTCGCAAATCATGCTACGGTGATCGAGGAAAGACATGGTTCCGTGACCTTATCAACTCGGGCAAGTGGATGACGAGTGAGGTACGGGTTCGAAACCCGAAATATGTGTTGTAGTGGTATTTAGTTTTTTTCTAACAACAATGACTTATACAGGTGATCGATTCGTTGTTCATGTTCACGCGGAACAAACTCGAGCAACGGCAGGACTTGTGTTCTCGAAGATTCACCACCGGTGACATTGTTCTTGCGGTATGTAATATATATATATCTCATACGCTGACCGTTTTTACAAATTCATGTGCTAACCGAAATTTTTTATTCGTTGCAGAACTTTCTTCGACGAATAGACGGACTATATCAACGCATGACAGCCCCGAACGCTGTACCTGCGAGAGTTGCAGCGGAATACGATTGGGCTGGGAAGTGTAAGACCATCCTGAGCTATATGGACGGGACGCACACCGACTATCAGACACGATGGCTTGATCTAGATGTTGTTTACCTGCCATACAACATCGGTGGCAACCATTGGATTATGGTACACATCGATCTGCAGGAGGGTGAGATCATTGTGTCGATGAGGTCGATGACACCCTTTCCAGCTCTGGAGTCCGAGTTGAGGCCGATGGCTGTTGTCCTACCGGCGTTGATGCACAGGTCCGGTGTTCAGGTACTAAGGCCGACACTACCGAATACGCCATGGCGCATTCGTCAAGTAACGTCCGCGCCCTAGCAAAGCGGGTCTGGTGACTGTGGGATGTTTTGCGTTAAATATTTCGAGTATGATGTAACAGAGTCAAATATGACTGGCTTAACTCAGGACAACATGAGTTTCTTTAGGGAAAACTTGGCCATTGAAATGTGGGCAAACCGATCTATATTTTGATACTAATCCGCTTATTAGTACTATGCCATTATTTTATTACCTAGCTCTTACAAACTACTTATCTTGCTTCGTATAAGACAAATATGTTAAGAAAGCAATTTGATAAATAAAACGAATCAATACAACATTGACCATTTAATATTCCACCCAAAAGAACAAAGTATGGAAATCACTGAAACATTTCACGGGCGAAATGACCCTATTCACGGGCAAGAAATATTTCAGTCAGTGCAAATGAAGTCACTGAAATATTTCTCGGGCGAGAATACGGCCATTTCGCCCGAAAAAGTTTTCATCCACTAGTGCGCTGGTCTCTGCACTATTTCACGGGCGAGAATATCATTACCCCGCCCGAGAACAGCATTCATGGCAAGATCTCATCAACATTTCGCCCGAATATATGATGATCGGATTCCAATACACAAAAAAGAAAATACATGGACATAAGTAAATCATACATCGAACTARGACTCAGTTGTTCGTAATGGTTGGCGGCAAGTTTTCCTATTGTGACCTTGCAYTCCACACYTGCTGCATTTATGTATCTGTTGAGGCTCGCCTGCTGATGGTATTCGTACTGTTTGTCGTCTACCAACTCTTGCAACGAACTTCGGAGGCTCGATGGTGTACTCAACAAAGTCGTCTG